ATGATTAGTGATTCTTTTTCAGGTGTGACCAGAAGGGTTAGATCTTCTCTGGAGTTTTCTCATTGTTTTCCTACTCATCTGTAAGATTCACAGAGTGTGATACAAGGCTTAGGTCTTCTTCTGTGGAATCTTGCAGGAATTTTCTCTTCAGCAGTTTATTCTGACTCTGCAAGGGGATGAAGGATCTCCCAGACCTTTTGAATCATGTGCTAGTGCTCTATACTGTGTAGACCCCATCATCACAGAACCAGCTGGTGCACAATACCCACACAGGTCTCACTTGCTGTGCTTTAAATGCACACGCTTGTCTCCTGCTTCTTGGTATCCTGTGGTTAGAGTAATGCATTTTGAATTCAACACTTTAGACTTCCTAAAAGAGCCTTACAAGAAGACACCCTCCACAACTGCAGTCTAGCAAGGATTATCCCATAACCTTTTGTCATATGGCTTCCTTCATGCATTGAAGAAGATGTTTAAGAGGTCTATACTGTAAGCCCAAGTAAAATGTGAATTAGAAAATCACTAATACTGCTCAAAGGAAGTCTAAGTAGGAACCAGATAGAACGAGTGTTGAGAAATCACCTGTTCAGTAACAGGTGTTTTTTTCCAAAGTTCTTGGCTCAGCTTACAGTGTGAATAAGGACTTTGCTTTATTTTCTTTTATGAGGGTTTGGTGCATGTAGCCAGTGCCTGTTTTGACATGTCCATTTATTGAACCTCTAAGGTTAATATGGGACATAAAGCCTGGGCCAATGTGTCTTTATTTGGTAATAAGAACCACAACCTTATGTTTATAAGCAATGACAGTCTTGAGACAACTTTCTCCCAAATATCCCGAAGCATCATAAGGGATCTGAAATGGGCCAGTTGTTATCCCTTACACAAGTGCAGTATTTACTGATGTTTTTGAGTTCTTTACAGTTTACATTCAAATCACATCAGCCAACATATTTAATATGATAAAGGAAAGGCCTAGTTGCTGTGCATGGATTTTTACACAACCCAAACAATTCTCTCTATTTGGTGAAGGTCACTGAAAAACAAGGAGCGAGTAAGAAAAAAAAAAAAACAAAGAAACTACAGGATATGATTCATAAAAATCCCATGTCTCCTCTATATGCTCATACAGTCTTCTTTGAAAAAATAAATAAATGTCTTTGTTCTTTAGCAATGTTCCAGTAAGTAATACACATGCCAGAGAACAAGCAAGCTCAAAACAATGAGCTAAAATTAGAAGAGGCAAATCCAGCATCTAAAGTCACAAATACACGCACACTTACTTTATAATGTGAAGGCATCTGGAAGAAATACAGTCACATGGACTGTCTGGGTACTGGCATTAGGACTGCAGCTCAGCAGATTCCTCTGTCAGCTACAAACTCTTTATGGATCTTTTAAAAAGTCTTTAAATCCTGTATGTGAAAAGAGGCAAAAATTTGCCTGCTTTTGTGGCTGTTGTAAGGATGAAACTCTGGATGTTTATAAGGATCTTGGATTATTTTGTTGCAGGCCATTGAAATAAAAAGATCTCTATGATCCATTCATTTTTGAAAAGTGCTAAAAAAAAGTGATTCAGTCTGGGCCATTTTTGTTCAGAATAAGCATGCTTCCTATTGAAAGTGAAAAGAAAGAGAGACCTGGTGTACAGTAGTACTATTAGTCAGTACTAATACCAATAATATCTTTTTCTGCATACTTTTCTCCTAATCTAAAAAAATTCTACATAGCCAGATACTTGCTAGCCATCATCAATTCTCTCTTGGCCTCATCAGCTCAATCAGTACACCACTTATATTCCCATGGAGGCCTGTTTAGCAGCACCAAGAAGCAGTAGGATCTAAATAGGAGCCTGGAGAATCATGATTTGTGGGCTAGTACCAGTGCTTCCATATTGTGGTATCAATCAGTAATCAGAGAAAGAGTTATGTAGACCTAAGAAGGAAAGTGGAACAATCACGAGTCCATGATTGCCCAGGTGTAGCTACCATTACAAAGAGCAGCTCAGGAGGAGCTGTCTGACACCACTCTAGATTTACATCCCAAGTGCAGATGCAGGCTCCAAAGGAGGCAACATGAGCTATTGTAGGTCAGTGGAAATGGAGAGTTTTTTTGGCATCAGATATTCCTAAAAATTCCAAAGGTTGCATTGCAAGGGAATACCACACTGGGATGATACTACTGAAATAATGTGCTTGGACATTTTAAAAGGTAACTGGAGTCCACATATTTATTTTTTAAATTTTTGCATTCTTTTCATTGTTTACTGATGCTGTTCTCAAGGTATGGACTCAATCTTAAGTATGAGCCCAAACGCCCATTGCAGGCAGTAGCTCAGGCAGAGCTGGGACTTGTTCCTACTGACTAAGGTGGTACAGATAGGGTTGCTACACATCAGACCTAGTAACAGACTACATACATTTACATGTTGGCTAACATGATCCATATTTATGTTAGATTTCAGAAGGAAGGATGAGAGGTGGCTGAGAATGAGAAAAATTAAATAGAGAATTGGTTTTGTTTTCTAAGTATCAGTATTATTTTTCCCGTTACAGGAGCTAGAACAGGGAATCAGCTAATTTAACACTACTCATATTCAAGATTAGGTTAACTATAACACTGAGAAAAATGTTAGACTTTTACTAATTGTGTTGCCTAACATATCTAAAGTTGAAGAGCAGAATTTAGACACAATGAAAGGCAAAAGGAGTTGAGAAGAGATTATTCCAGAATATCCCACTAATGTTTGTATCTGTTGCTACTGTTTAAGAGTCTCATAGAACTGCATGCAGTTATGCTGGTACTGCGTGTACTGGTCACAGCTGCAGTCAGATACAGTTAGTATGGAAAGTGAACAGTATTGGGCTGAGTGAACATACCTATTAGTAACGCACGCTTTTACCTTTATTAATTGATCGATGGATTTGTTTTTTGAGAATGCCTAATAACTTCAGCACAGACTAATATTTAATTAGAATAGATAGTCAAAGATCAATGCATTCAAAATGACATAGTATGTTATTGTCTGTTGATAAAATATTCTACAAAAAAGGCAGTGTGGGATCTTCCCAGTAATGCTCTATTTAGTTATTAATAATCTATGAAGACTTTAATGTGGCAGTTGCAATGGGTTGGGTGTTTTTCAACGATACGCGGACAGAGAAGCCTAGCCTGAAGCAGCGTACAAGCTAAGAGTAGTAAGAAAGCTAAAATTTTCACAAAATCCTGGACCCATACCATTGCTCAGTGTCCAGCAAAGTACAGAACTTCTTCATCTGGAGTTTTCATTGAACCTGGTCTCTTTTATAGCCAAACCCAGAAAAAGATGTAACAAGAATCCCATGACTCATTATTTCCCAAGTTTCCAGAGAGAAAATTAAGTACTGTACCTGGGCCACTCTGCTAGCAAAGGGAAAAATAAAACCCTTCCCTATTAAAAAAGAAAAGAAAAAATATTCAATACCATTCTGAATACATCACCTTCCTCTCATTTGGAAGGGAAAAGAGGCAGAAATTAGGAAGAAAAGTAATGGCCCGACATGTGTCCATCGAGCTTTTATGAGATTATATACCCTTTCTGATGAGAAGCCATCCAACTCTTGCTACTTCTTTCAAAGCTGCCAGTGGAAAGAAAGATTTTTCATTGGGAGGAGGATCTCTAGGGGAAGTAGTGAAAAGGCATGAGAGAATGAATCTGGAATAATTCACTCCCACCCACCTACAGGAGATTCCTAGAAGTATTGTTAGCCTGAGGGTTTCCAAAAACCCACTGCACTTCTCAAAGGCAAGGTCATTTCTGTGGCAGGTTGATTTTAAAACAGAATTGGTGTTGAACTGAAACGTCTCAGAAGGTTGGAATGTTTGAAATAGTCCCAGGAGAGAGGGTTTAATGTACAAAATGCAGGTGAGGCAGCCAGAAAGACATGATAAATGTAATTTATCACAGGGCTCTGCAATTTATCACAATGGTATCGGAGGAAACAGGCAAAACAGAGAAAAGGAGATAGATAGACTGGATAGATTAAGCTCCTTTGGGCATGGAACTGGAACTTTTTTTTTTTTTAATATGCCAAGGAAATTGCATAGTGCAAGACCAAATTTTCAAACAATATTTTATTGATTAGAATAGAGTTATGAGTTCCTGGGCCTTGAGTCCTTTCCCCTCAAAAGGAAAAAATGTGTAATCCTGAAGAATGAAATTAAGGTAAAATTATAGGATGCTGTTTTGTTGATTTTGGTTTTAATCTACCTCTGAAGCAGCTCCGAACATGTGCCAGGAAGCAGGGATTTGCATGTGCAAATCAACTAGCTGTACTTCCAGCTACCCGTCTGCCTGCTCGGTTTTCAAGTTTGGGTGCATGAAACTCCACATACAGGAGCAACTTCACAGGCTAAATCTGTGAGCTACTTTAGATGGCGTGAAAGTGATCAAAGTGTGCTCACAGGTAAATACAATTTGTCCTTACTCCATTGCTCTTGTGTGCCTTCCTAAAAACAGTCCTGTTGTATTAGTGTAATAGCTCCAACTTTTACAGCAGCAGAGCTGGCACACTGCAGTGGTCCAGAGTATTGCTGTAGTATACTGGATATTCCCCACCTCCCACAAAGTAGGGGCCTTATAGCGTTCAAAAGAGAGCATGTACTATTTAAACTGCTTCACTGGGAGGAGAATTATGTGTTCTGCAACGCCTCAGGACAATGAGCCAAAGGAACCATAGAATATGAGCTTGGTGTTAAAGTCGTAGCTCTGCACTGCTGTGCTTTGTGTGGGTTTTAGTCTGCTATGTAACATTACTTTTACATTAACATTTGTGGTTCCTTTTTTACGCACTCCAGCTTCATCATGCTCCGCCCTTTATATTTTAACAGTCAGATTCCTGTGATCCAACCAGGGTGGCATGTTCAAGGCTCCACTTCTTTTCAGTGCTGATGATTAAAAAAAAAGGGAAGAAGTTCAGCATATCAAACAAGTTTACTTCAAATAACTTTTATTCACACTAGGACAAGACTATCGCCAAAGAACTGTACAAAACACAAAACAGAAGGGATTTTTTACAACTCGATTGAAGACTATTTCACGCCAATCCAATGCTTGTATATCTACAACCAACAAAGTTTTGGAGCATTATATTACTTAACATTACTCATTGGATGCTTTCAGATACAAAAATGTATCAGGAATAATAACAATAATCCACAAGTTCCTTGTACTCCTACAGAAATGTTACTATTGACCTTTAGAAATTTTGCTCTTTGGGTTGGTCCCATTGATGCTATCTCCTTTAGAAAATTCTCTGGCTGGAAAGACAAATCACAGATAAACTTTTAGTGCTCAGAGCAAAAGGACTGTTTTTTATCATAGAAACAGATAGCAACATCAATTTTCAAAAAAGAAAATAAAAATAGACATTTCAGCTGTGCAGCCTCAGACCAAAAAGGCTATGTTGTAGAAACCCACAGCAAAATAAGCTTGCCTTGAAAGCTTTAGTCATGATTTCACCAGGTATTGCTTTATGCTTTCCTACTGCATCCTACTGTAGAATATTAAGCCAACCAAGAAATTTAAAATAGCACTAAATAAAGCAGCAAGAGAGATCAGTGTGAACTTGTCCCTGTACCACAGGATGCATACGGCCTGCTGAAGTCAACGGGAATATGCCCACTTGTATCAATGCTCTTTCAAACAGACTTTTCTAGAAATACTAGAAATAGGGATGTGCAGCTGAGTTCAAATCTGCTCCTGCACTTTTCTACCGTTCAGGTGTGGTGGAGTGCAAAGTTAAGGTTTCTTCACTAGCTGCCTCCCCGAACCTGTCCAAAACCTGTTAGAGAAGGGATTTCAGTGGTCTTTGAACCAAGGCATCCTATGGCTCTACTAGTGCAAAAGTGCCTCTAGCCATTCAGACAAACCATCAGGAACGGGATAATGTGTGGATATTTAACGCAGAATCACTCTCACTGCACAGTACGAGTGCCCCTGGCTTCGTGCTTTGTGTGGCTCTAGATTGTCTGTATAGGAGCATGTATTCCCCATATTTTACAGCCCGGCTCACAGTAGGCTCCACAGTTTACATCCAAATACTAATGCCTTTGATCGTGCAGAACAATTCATATTTCATTACAAACTGTTCTAATATACTGAACCACAGAGCATGGCACTAGAGCAGGACAAGAGATTGTGTAGAAGAGATGTGATATTTTCTGGAATGTTCTTTTTGGTGTTCGCCCTCTGTGTGTGTTGTTTGCTAGAGACTAAAACTGAGCTGGTAACAAGATGTCATGGGACAAAAAAAAAAAACCTTTTGGATCAAGTACATTGTTAAAATCAAAATGGGTCCCTTTTGAGGTCAGAAAGGAATGTAAGTTTCACAATTTCTTTTTTTAACAATCAGCAGACAGCCAGCTAAATCATTCTCATAAAATACCACTCCAGTTTGGATTTGTCACAAAAATGAAGCATTTAATTGCTGCTAGAAGTGACAAAGATAAGCTATTCTCATTCCCACAGCAAGGAAAGAAGCATTTGTCAGAAGAGACAGACCTTTTTTTCTGCTTCTCTGTGTGCTGCAAGGACGAATGCAATTACAGGTAAAAACCAAAACGAGTGACACAGAAAAGTAAAAGCTTAAGTTATAATTAAGAGTCTAAACTCCTCCAACTGCAGGATGAAAAGCAGGTAGCAGAAGGCTGATTTAAGAGACATTCTTTCCCAGCAGGTTCCCCCCTATGTACACATTCTGTTTTACTTCCATATGGAGTCTGTAAAAAAAAAAAAAAAAAAACCATACAGTGGCTCACAAAGCTCTATGGTGACCTTTTAAAATAAAACAACTGTGCACTGTTACAGATTTTGGAAAGGCCACTACTGGAACCGCCCCCATCTCCCCTCTCTCATTCACGTTACATGGGGTCTTCTAGGGGCTTATTGCACAGAGTATACTTCAGGGCAGCACACCTGGCTGTTGCTGTTTATAACGAAACATTGGACGGTGACATTTATGTCTGTGTGCGCATGGGCATGCTTGTGAGATGGAGAGGGCATTTCCTAAAGCATGAATGTTTGCTGGATGCTTACTTGCCCCTGCAAGTTAGTAGAAGCTAGTTGCCTAATAGCCATCAGCGTCTTTGGAAAAGTTCCCTCTAATTCTTCGTCCCAGACACATTGCCCTGAAAGTGTCCTGCTGTCTGTCTGCACAAATTAGTCAGTCTCCACATTCTTGTTCTCTACAGGACTTCTGGTGTTGGCTGCAGCAAAACCTTTCTAATATTTCATCTCCGGTTACGACTCTCAGCTTTTTAGGGAGGCTGCACTTAGATAAGATACCAAATCAAATACCACATACTCCAGAGAGGGATTCATTTAGCCACTTGAGTTCAGCTGGCAGCATTTTGTTGATTTTTTTGCAATGTATAGAAGCAGCCATCTTTGTTTACATAGCAGCTGTTTATATTTTCTGTTTATTTTACAATGCTTATTTAAGATAGTTTAATGATTTTATTTTCCTTAGATTCACTTGCCTGGAATTAGTTACCTCATTTTCACTGAAAGTAAAATTAGGAAGGTATATAATTTAAAAAAGGGACTAATTTTGTCATCTTTACACTGGCGAAATTCCCATGAACTTTGATTACGCAGTAGGAATTTTGCCTGAAGAAGGATCATATAATCAAGCATTTCATTGCTGCAGATTATATTAAAGCCAAATGAGCACGCACAAAATTCCTACACATAGAGTCTAAAAATGAATTGCAAGACGCTCAGTTTTTAGCAATTCCAAGATTTACTATTTATTGTTGTTCCCACTCCAGTCCAGGTTAAAGCAGTAAGCTGGGTAAAAATAATTTTTTCTTGATATCTGGCTTCATGTCACTCTAGTTCTCAGCTTCTAGTATGAATTTAAGGACCTAAGAACATAAAAGGAGTCCAAAATCCAATTTAGCTCAATATTCAAGCTCCGATACTAGGGAAGAACGGAGAATGGAGAAAGCATTTTTGTGGTACTTCCTGCGACAGCATCTCAGATCCTGAAGATCTGTGGCTTGGGAAATTCTTGATCCAGCGGTGGAGTGCAAATTTCTACATACTTTCCCTGTGAGGCAGAGATTTGCTGCTAAAGGCAAAGCTATCTGGGGGTGGCAGTGCAGTGGGACATCCTCCTGCAGGCCTGCAACCCTTCTGTGCGCCAACATCGGCCAGAGGGTCAGCCCCAGCACTGGGAACTCTCTACCACTTCTCCAGCTTTACATTTCCCTTGGACTCACTCAAAGGAATCACCAGTTAGGCCACATTATTTATCCATTTCAGCCCATTTTTGGAAGTAACCTAAGTTCAGATGTTGATATTTTGGCAGCCAACATGAAATATCTGGGATTTAATTTTCAGAGGTGTCAATCTCCTTAGCCTAAGCTGAGGTCCATGGGACACATGAGACTGTGACTCCCCTTGAAAAACAGCTCTGAATTTGGACATTAGAAATGAAGAAACATGAAATTAATACACCTTTCTGAAACTCCTGGAATTTATTGTTAAATCAAGATAAAATTGGGCATTTTTAAGAGTGTCTATGTGAATATTTTCCTTAAAGTATGGCTAAAATCACTGTTTAAATGGGAGACATTTTAACAGCGATCCATAGGGAGCTATTGATGGCAATAAAAAATACTGTGAGAAGAAAACAGCAGCAAGTGAAACTGCCCTCTCGGAAAGCCCAGGTCTGCTTTGAAGGAAGTGTTGATATTCACCATAAGCCTCAGTCATTTCCCAGAGGGCTGTACGGTGCCTTGTAATGACATAATCAAAAAGTAATGGTGTTCTGGACTTAAAAATACAAGGCTTGATCCATCTCCCAGTGAAATCAAAGAGGATTTTGCTATTGACTTCAGTGAGAACAGAGCTCTGGATACAATCTGTATGCAGTTTATTTGCACATTTGCTTATCCAAATGATTCTAACTTTAACCAATAGTATGTCTAGATACATGCCTGTACAAATGCATGAGTGTGAGTTTATAATGTGGTTAAATTCAAATTATTTTGGCATTCTAAAAGCATTTCCAGCTACAAAGGACAGCTTTAGCTGATTTCCACCCCAGAGTGCAAATTTTAATTGGTAAAGTTTGTAACTCACATTTCAAGCTGCAATTCATGTTCAATTTCACGCAAGCTAAAAGACACAAACAGATTTTGCATTTGTGGGGTTAATTTTAAACTGATTCTACTATGCAGCCAATTAAAATGCTGCAGCCATTATTTCAAAATATGAAAAGCTTTACAAATTACTCAACTCATCAGCTCTGGTCCTTGGTTTCCTTGAAGGGAAACTTCTTTGATGACCACAAGAAAATTGCAGTAAATGGCAAGTAAGATTGCCATCACAAGTTTGCTGAAAACACACAGTGAACTCCTGATTGTTTTAGTCATGTGAACAGTCCCTTCAGAACAGCCCAATTTCAGGCAAGGTGATTTACACCAGGGGTTAATTTGGCCTGCTAGGACTCTGCATTATTAAAATGAGTATGATTTTGTCTTATAAATGGCAGGTAGAATTTTCTTTTATTTTTTAACTGAGAGGCATATATTCATTTTAGAGCAAGCCTTTCAGAATAAAAGTTTACTTTACATTATAGGAAATGACATTCCTTTTTTTAGATTTCCCTTTTCAAAGCATGCCTCAGATTTCTAACTTGCAGCAGAGAGCTTTTGTATAAGTAATAAAAGTCTTTAAAATTAAAATGCTAATCGTAAACAAACCCAAATGCATGAAAGATATAGTCTGACTGCATAACAAAAGAGAATTATATAATTCTATTTGAGTGAAATCTTTCATCTTTGATTTACAGGTTTGAGTCTGCCTATAACTGAAACCATATTGTTCCATATCTTTCATATCATGGCCTTTCCCAAAATCTTGTTTTAATTAAGGTTTCTTTCAGATTTCAGAATAAAAAGCATGACAGTCTTCACTTATGGCTTTAATATATCCTTTCAGTTTGGAAAATATATAAAAAAAATGAACATCATTTGCTTTTCAAAGCTAAGCGAGCCATCAAATACTGCAAGTATTCACTTTAAGGTAGAGTAAGACACCTCGCAGGGTTCATTAGGTGAGAAAGCTGTAAACAAAATAAAGGTAGCTGTGGCACAATTTTGTTCATTTGAAGTATGCTAAATACATGTCCTATCTCTTTCTCTGGCGGTAAGGCAACACGTGTAATAGTTTAAACGTTCATTATCATCTAAAGGCACAACTCTACGTTACGTTCTCAAACATGGATTTAAATAGCTAATATCACGTTGCAGTTGCAGGGAAATCTTGCTGCATTTTGGGGATTCAAAATAAAGCTAAACCCTTTGAAACTTTTTAAGCAATATCAACTCTTAGTTCAGGACTACATGAAAGAATCAGTCTGTATTTCTACAGCGACCTGTAAAAAACACTCCCAGCACAACCTCCACAGAAACACCTGAGCTTCAAATGAGCTGCACGCAGATACTTAAGACTGCTGTTCTTAGAGTCAGGACACAGAAACATTTCAGAACAAAGTAAAAACACATTTGAAAAGCCATCCATTTTTCAGAAACTACTTGATCTCTGCTGCACATCTGTTGAGAGCTGCTGTCAGCTAGGGAGGGTACAGCACTTTTCTATTTTTTAAAGGCAGAAGATCGCTTATTTTACAGAATCATGAATGTGTTTTTATGATATAAAAGATTACATTAAATGGAGAGGGAATTTCAGGAAAATGGAAAATAAAATAAAGCACCATCAAGCACAGTACCCTGGGGGATTTATAGAACAATCAGAAGTGCTTTCCCTTTAGCTAAAATCCCTCATCTTAATTTACACACCTTTCACTTATCCAACCAAGAATTCATTACAGGGCTAAAAAAATGGCAGAGAAAATAAGGTGGTTTTTTTTTTCATTACACAAAGCAAAAAAACCAAACTCTATTAACAGTTTAACACAGTATGAAAAAAATTACTCAGTAAAAAGTGTCAGAAAGTGATTCATGGAGTTTACCAAGCATTTTGCTGGCTGTTGCAATTCTCGTATCTATAATCTATCATGTAGAATTTTGTAATATTCTATTTCACAATTTATGTTGGTGAGCAGGTCAAACAGCATATAAAAAGCATGCTCTGGGCTCTTTCTCCCAAGCCTGTTTTACTGTAACTTTAGAATTATAGCGGTTACGTGTAAGGAATCTTTAGGGCTCTTTCAAGTCCATCCAAAGAACAAGTGAAGCTGCTATTCAGAGTTTTGTGCCCAGTGTTTATGTTCCATCTGATCTGTGCCACCCAAGCAGCAGACAAGACATGTCTGAGGGTGCTTTGGGGGGGATACACAATGATGTCACCCACAGGAAATATCAGGGAGGACTTGGCACTTCACAAGGCTGGCTCTTCTTCCATGGGCTCGCCAGCAGCTCTGTAAAAATAAACAGGCAATCAGAATGCGGCACAAGAGTACACAATGACATTGTAGATTTTCATGCATAATCAAAGCTGATTTTTCAGCTCTCTCTGATGTTTATTTGTGTTATTCAGTTATCCATAAATAGAGTTTCTTTCCTAGGAAGTATAAACAAATGTCAAGTGGAAAAACATTTTAAATCCAAGCAATCACTGAAAATGTTCCTGTTTATATTAAAATATGTCAGAATATTTTATAACTTTTGGTCCAGAAATGTACATGCTTTGTGTCAACAGCGTCAAATAGTTTCATGAAAAAAATAGCTGTGATACTTCTATTTTACAAGCATTTGCAACTAAAAATATATGTACTTATTTTTTCAAATGGGCCCATACCATTAAAACAAAAATACTTCTCTAGAAGCCGAATAGTTAGCAATGTTTCTTCTGGGTTTTTTGATTCTGTGCTTTCACAAAGGCATTGACTGGCTGTCTGCCTGCCTGAAACTTCTGCCATACAATTCTGAATTTGATTAGCAGATCACTGCCATAGAGAGGGTGTCCATAATAAGGTCTAATCAGATTACACGTATATCCTTTATAAGAAAGCATCTGGCAAATATTCAGCCTAGGAAAGATAAGCTCTTAAAAATATCCAGTAAGAAAATGATGGGGACATATGCTGAGCTGGTGTAAAGTGCCATCATTCTTTGCAGCTAACAAGTTACTGCACCTGAGGATTATATCAGTAATTATAAAATGGAAAGCTTCTGAGACCACGGTGAGACCTTACTGTTGAAGGGCATGAGAATTTGGACATAACCATTTTTCACCTCAGCCCTGCAGAATACCATACAAAAAATGAGCTTAAAACTTCCTTAAAAATAATCCCTTCAAGCAATTTTGAAATGAAAGCAGGGCAAAAAGTAAATACAAATAAATAAATAAAACAGACATTTACCAGTTAAATCTCACTGAGTGATTGACGTTAGTAAAACATCCCCCAGAAAGTACATGTTCATGAGATCCCATGGAAAAAAAAAAGTAATTAATGGGGGCTTGCATGGGCTTCGGTGGTTTATTCAGCAAGGAAGCCAGGAATTTTAACTGTATCTGGACTTTATTAAAGTCTTTCCCAATGAAAAATTCAGCAGTGTCTCTTTAAGTGATTTTATACAGATTATTCCTTTCTGATTTGGAATGAGTGCAGCTAGTATGCTGAAAAATAAGTCAGATGAACAATATATGAAAAAAAAGTTTTTTGGACTACTCATTTTCCAAAGGGTTATTGACCCCAGAAGATTATTAATCTATAAATCTCAAATCCTTTGTCCCTGCCCACACCACAGAGAATTTTTCACGTGCGCGGGAACCACTGCAGCCTTGTTGCTGCTGTGTGCGGAGGTGAAGCTGGATCTGGGGGCAGGCTGCAGCTTTGGCTGGGGGAGGGGCAGGGGGGGGGGG